AATAAAATATTAAAAAAGAATAAAAAAGCTATTGTTCATTTTATTGTATTTTTGAAATTTAAAAACAAATGTTTTACATTTTTTAGGAAATTATATTGTAGTTGTAGGAAAAATATTGTAAATCACTTGTGTAAAAGTGATTTTTCGCAATCATAATAACAATTCCTACACTGTAATAGATGTGCTATTGAATGGTGTATGTAATGTAATATATTTAAATTAAGTTCCAAAATTTAGGAAAATGAACTCGCCATTGTTTGTAAAGCGTAAGACAAGAGGATGCTAACAAATCTGTTTCAATCTGATATTAACCCCATCTCCGGTACTTCTACAGCGAACATTTAAATTCTACGGACTTTCGCTCAATATTTTATCAGACACTTCTCTGTGGAATAACTTTCTGAATAGCTAACTGAAAAGTTATTGCTGAATATTAAATTTGAAAAAATATGGCCCGTGTTAAGGCTAATATTTGAAGTTGTTTTCTAGATTGATTAAATTAGCTGTTCATTTTAGATTTAATTTAAGTTTTACGAATTTTTGCGTGGATTATACTTTGAATAAATTAAACAAGAACAATATTTACATACAGATTGTTAAACTTTTGTAAAAAGAAATTATAACGTCAGCTGGATAGCGGTAGGAAATTAAATGAAACTCCACTTAGTACTTAGCCTTTTCTATATGTATGACAGTGTGGATTGAATTTATAGGTCTCTTTATACTCCCTTTTAATTTTCACGAGATTGTTAGTAGATACACCTTTTTTGTTTCTTAATTCAGCCAAAGTAAGAACTACTACCTTGAGGTTCTTGAAATACTTCTTCTTTCTTATTTATAAATTACTTTTTGGCATTTAACTGTTCTGGCAATGTTTTGGTTTTGAGTTTAAATGAAATGATTATGGAACTGTTCAGAATTAAGCAGCGGTCCCTATGTATATATTTGGTTAACTGCAATTTTATGAAACCTGGAAAAACATGTTTTCCTAACATTAAACTTTTAACGAAATCTGAAGTCCACATAATATCGCTTATTATTAAATCTTCTGCATATTTTTTTGTGAAATTCTTAGAGAAACTTCATCTTCATAAGCAGTAAAATGAGTCACAGGCGAAATTGATTTAATTTCCTTAATATATAATCCAAACAAAATCGCGCCTATTTCTCAACCCTGAGGCACACCAATATTCACTGACAGACATTCTGATCAATAAATTCAGGCGTCTAATATCAATTGTAGCAAAGTCCACTTTTCCAAATTTTCCACTACACAACAAAAACTACATATTTAAAAAATATGAGGACGTTACATAAAATTACTCTTTTGGCTTTTAAGTGTGCAAATAAATTATTTTATGTAAATTGCAGTCAAAATTGCCGTAGTATGTTGAATAATATTTTAAATTGGAGTTTACTGTATTTGATATTTAAGGTTGGAGGTTGCTATATATGAATTGTTCATGAAAGGAAATTGCTGTTTATGATAGTAAACTAGGGGTGTGAAAACATCCGGGACTGTATTGAATACAAACTACAAACTAGTGATGCCGCGAGACGAGAGATTCTCGTCTCTCGTCTCGTCTTGTCTCGTCTCGAACGAGACGAGAGAGACATTTTCTCTCGAAAACAGATTCGAGAGAGTGTCATCTCTCGACGAGAATTTCTCGTTTCTCTCGAGCTCTCTCGAACAATTTTCTCTTTGCTTATTTGAAATTTTCAATTGCTTATCGTAACTTAAAATTTTAACATATCAGATTTTGAGATAGTCAAAAACTAAACTATAACACACCTATTCTATATATATTAAATGATAACAAATGATACTTGTGTTATTAGGATTTTATAAATAGTGATTAATAAGAAAAAATAGTTTTCATTTCATTTATTTAAAATTTATACAATCATTTCTTATATTTAATTCATTCTGCTTTTCTGAGGTTACTTTTGAAGATAAGTTGAAAATTTTTAGGCGTTTTTTCGAAAAACTGCCAAAGAAAAGGTAATACAAACGAATGTATTATATACAGTGAGGACGAAAATTGTATCCTCCTCTATTTTAACTTCTAAATGAAAAAAGATAATGACAAAACAAAAACGAAGTAAAACTCAAGAGATATTATATTTTTGTTATAACGAGGTGCACTTTACTTGAAACACGTAAGATAGAGGGAGTTACTAGCTTTAAATTTTCTAATGGAAAGTAGGATCATGTGATACCTCATTTGAAAGATATTTACGTTCATGTAAACAGATTTAGGTTTTTATGTTTTTACAGAAATTATATTAAATAAATTCATAAAGTAGCTTAAATTCTTTTTTTTATTTACCGCTTCAACCTCAAAGGATCATTACCGGAGGTATAATACCTTATAAATGCTGTTTTTTATAATAGTATACAATGGATAATTAACATTTTGGCTAGTACAGAGTAAATGTCAGTATCTTTTATAAATTTAAGTGATCTTTTACTGTTAGAGGGATTTAGCACTGCACAAATGGCAATTTTTTGTAGCTGGCACGTTGTTCTTATACAGATATGTTCTGGGCCTTTACTAATAAGTTACATTCTTGATAACTCTCGTATTAATAATTATTGTTTATTATACTAATGAAACGCTTCTTGTATTTACTAAAATAAATAAATTAAGAATATCAAATATGATTTAAAAACCACTTGCGTATTAAATTTTTCATAATTTCTTGGCAAAAAAAAGCTTATTAAAAAATTATTTTCTGACATTATCTAACATTTCTAGGATTATTGCGGCACACGAGGATTATCAAGAATTTAATTTTTTTAAAATAAAAAAAAAATTAAAACTGTTTGCTTGGACGTAAATATGATCAAAATATCTTTACTTTCCTTTAGAAAATTTTACGTCTCGAGTAAAGTGCATCTCATTACAACAAATTTCACATTGTTTTTGTTTTATGTCTCTATCTTCTTGCATTTTGAAAACATACTACAAAATGCTTTCATTTGACATCGCAGGATTAGTTTAGAAAAATTGTAACTTCCAATTTAACCTCATCCCCCCTTCCCCCCTTACAAGACCAAAGTATTTTCGTTTTTAATTAAAGCCTTATCTGGACCACTTATTACTTCAAATTTCGATTGTTAAACGACTGTGACAGACGGACAGACAGAGAGACATAAGTGTATCTTATTGCCAAATTTGGGTACTAATGCGCAATTTACTTGAAAAATTCTTTGTTTTTGTCTTACAAATTTTACCGTTTTTTCATGTTTCGTCATTTTCAAATTTAAATTTGATATTGTTTTATCACTCGAGAAACGAGACGAGACAAGACGAGAGAAAGGCTCTCTCGAGCGAGAGAAACGCCTTCTCGTCGAGACGAGAGAACAGTTTTCTCTCGCCCTACGAGACGAGATGAAAGAGGCCACTCTCTCGTCTCGTCTTGTCTCGCGGCATCACTAATACAAACACACTTCTGCTCACTAATTAATACTGTGTTTAACAGAAACAAAAACAAATGTTTTTAATATTGTCAATAAACAATGTGTCCGTGGACCGGCTTTCTGCATTGTGCTATAGGTCTGCTCTCTGCGCTGTGTGATGTGAATTAAGAATAGACACACAACGACAGATATATCCACAATCCCAACGCAGCAGGCCATTGGCAACGTTGATATTATTCGTTTCCTTCTCCAACTAATGCGATATCTCCGTAGTTTTCGCTTCGACACTAGCAAACCGTATTGAAAGATTTTTAATAGCCGATACTGCATATGAATAAATAAATATATATACAGAGTTGCGCGAAAATTATTATCTGTATACCCAGTAACTTAAAAAAAATGCTGAAACACGTGAATTGATTTTATATTGGACGTAATTGTTAATAAAATGATTTTTTTTTCAACCCCTTAGCTGCAACTCTACCCAACTGTTTTTTTCCATTGTAAAATCAATTCACTTGTTTAATTTTTTTTTTTTTAAGTTACTGGTTGAACAGATAATAATTTTATTCCGGACTTTCGCGCAACTGTGTATATTACGGTAAGATCCACTATACAAAATATCAATAAAATATTATGATGTTCTGCACACCAACGTAGTATGTATTTAATGTAGGAATTTATATGTGTTTCTAATTGTCAATATAGATTTACTAATTGTGGCCCTGGAAAGAATGTTGCTTATCTCAATCATTTCGCCTGATTTGTTTTCCAATTTTTAGAATTTCTAACACACTTTCTTGCGTGTTTTTATCTACATAAGTACAAGAGACCTCCATTTTATGAATTTTCACTAAACAATTCTTATTAGTTTGTTATCTTGAAGAAAACTTACTAACGAGTCTAGGCCGTTTTACCTTACCCCGTACAATATCTAATTTACAAAACAAAAGTTCATGATTGATTACAGCTGAAAGCCCGGATGATGTCGCAAAAAATCCCAACCGAACTTTCACCTGCCTCAATACAATCAATTAAAGTTTGATGCGCGGCAAAGTATCACTTTTCGCTATTAATACACAAATAGCTATTTTAACAAAAGAGTGCGATAAAGTAAGAACAACGAACATTATGGAAACTTTTTAGTAATAAATAAAATTAAAAATACGACGGCACCTTATATTTTTGGAACATCAGAATGATTAACATCCCAAAAGTTGTTAATTCTGACAAGGGTCAAAAAGTGCCGAAATATATTGTTACACCTTGTCACCGTCGCCCATTGTTTCAGCTTCTATTCAAACTCCCTCAGAGCTTGCGATTAGATTGTCATTCTCATGCCCACCATTGTCTGAGTAAAATTTACCTGTTATCAACGTAACGTTGCCCTATTCAATGAAAATATAATCAGAGTCAGTACGGTTCAACAAATTCCATCTAGATAAACCCTTTTGTTTCGACAACGACATATTTATTTTATATATACAGTGGCGAACGTTGCTTAAATACCAGGAGACACTTATTAACTTGCTCTTCCAGTAAAACTCTATTTAATTGGAGAACTTTCGTATTACAGAAACAGTGCCAAGTAGCAGTATTACCTTTGGGAACCGGTAACGATTTAGCAAGAGTTTTGGGCTGGGGATCTTCCTGTGATGACGATACCCATTTACCCCAGCTATTGGAGAAATATGAGAGAGCCAGCACCAAGATGTTAGACAGGTATACGTTCTAAAAATGAGTATACAGACTCATAATACTAGTTTTTTTTAAAGTTGCATGTAACATGTGTGAATTAGGGTAATTTTATGGGTAGAGAAAAAAAGTTCTGTGAATCTCACAAAGATATGTAGTGATGGATTTAGGCCTAGGCCCCCCTAGGCCTGGGTCTAGAGTGCCAACATTCGAGGAGCGCCAACATTTACAGAACCGGTGGTTAAAAAATTAATATATTGACTTTTTTCTTGTCATCAAGATTATTAGAGATTTAACTTTACATTTACTTTCTGAGGCAATTGCTTTCTTTTCTAATTTATAAGTTCTATAATTTTTTTTTTTTTTCAATTTTCACGCATCATTAACTTTATTCGCGATAAGAATCCTGAACCGAATTATTACTAACACTAATGATTTCGCAGGCGCAGTAGTTAAAAAACGTTCGCGGAACAAAAAGAACTGAACTATTGGTTCTATCCTGCGTTCGCGGTAAAATTATTATTGGTTTTGAACCGCTTGTCTATACCTGAGACACCGAGATGTAATAGGGATTGCGCCGCGCGGTAAAAATTCAGATTGATAATGAATAGGGCATGCGCTCAAAGTATGAATTAGTAATTCTGAATCAGTTCAAGATTGTTACCGCGAACGAAGCTATTGTGGAATACTAATTCAGCGTGCACAAGATAGTGTAAAAAATCTTTCTAATACTCGGTCGTCTACTCGACATGATGCTTGTTATGCTTTGGAGAAAGTACCTATACATCTAGAAACAATGATTCTATTGGTCGTTAAGAATACAATTTTAGACCGATTAAATGCTGTTCAAGAATTAAAAATTCTCTTGTTATATTTGTTCAAGATATGAGAAATAAACAATTTTTTTAATATGAAGAAAAATTTAAATTGCTTTGTTACTCGTAATAGAATTCTAAAACTCCAATCGGAAGAATCGAGAGCACATGACAGAAAACCTTATTCAGGGCAAGATGATTTTTGAATCAACATTTTATTACCGCATTTTAGATATATTTCTTTTCTTCATATATAAAATTAAATATCACCTTAAGATCATTTCTTGATATATTTTACTCAACGTCATAAAATTTTTTTTAGATGGAGCATTATGGCTTTTGAACGGACGATCGCCATGCCTAAATTATCGCTTACCCCTGGTATACACGACGGTCAATTACACAGCCAAATATGCCAATACGAAGATTCGCTGGTCACCCACCTGCAAAACATTCTCCAATCCGACGAGACTTCCGTTATTTTAAATTCCGCCAAACGTCTCTGTGAAACCGTCAAAGATTTTGCTTCGCAGCTGATGGAGAGTTCACTAACGCAAGGTTCTTATTTTATTTTTCTTCTGTTTCATAGTCCTTTCCTCATCACTTTCCTATGCCTATCTATGTCTATTTTATCATATTTCTAGTCCTCTTTATCGTCCGTTTCTTCTTACTTTTTTTGCGAACCCGTCTCATAGTTTTTCTTTAGTCTTCGTCCTCATCTTCATCTACACCTGTTCGTCGTCTCTTTCCTCTTCTTTTCTCAGGTGTTTTTATCGTCCTCTCGTCGCTCCTTTCTTCGTCCTTTCTTCTTTTCTTTTTCTCATTATTTTCCTTGTATTTTTCCTTGTACTTTTCCTTGTACTTTTCCTTGTACTTTTCCTTGTACTTTTCCTTGTACATTTCCTTGTACTTTCCTTGTACTTTTCCTTGTACTTTTCCTTGTACTTTTCCTTGTACTTTTCCTTGTACTTTTCCTTGTACTTTTCCTTGTACTTTTCCTTGTACTTTTCCTTGTACTTTTCCTTGTACTTTTCCTTGTACTTTTCCTTGTACTTTTCCTTGTACTTTTCCTTGTACTTTTCCTTGTACTTTTCCTTGTACTTTTCCTTGTACTTTTCCTTGTACTTTTCCTTGTACTTTTCCTTGTACTTTTCCTTGTACTTTTCCTTGTACTTTTCCTTGTACTTTTCTTGTACTTTTCCATGTACTTTTCCTTGTACTTTTCCTTGTACTTTTCCTTGTACTTTTCCTTGTACTTTTCCTTCTACTTTTCCTTGTACTTTTCCTTGTACTTTTCCTTGTACTTTTCCTTGTACTTCTCCTTGTAATTTTCATTGTACTTTTCCGTGTACTTTTCCTTGTTCTGTTCATTGTACTTTTCCTTGTACTTTTCCTTGTTCTTTTCATTGTACTTTTCCTTGTACTTTTCTTTGTACTTTTTCTTGTACTTTTCCTTGTACTTTTCCTTGTACTTTTCCTTGTACATTTCCTTGTACATTTCCTTGTACTTTTCCTTGTACTTTTCCTTGTACTTTTCCTTGTACTTTTCCTTGTACTTTTCCTTGTACTTTTCCTTGTACTTTTCCTTGTACTTTTCCTTGTACTTTTCCTTGTACTTTTCCTTGTACTTTTCCTTGTACTTTTCCTTGTACTTTTCTTTGTACTTTTCCTTGTACTTTTCCTTGTTTTTTTCCTTGTACTTTTCCATGTACTTTTACTTGTACTTTTTCTTGTACTTTTCCTTGTACTTTTCCTTGTACTTTTCCTTGTACTTTTACTTGTCATTTTCCTTGTACTTTTCCTTGTATTTTTCCTTGTATTTTTCCTTGTATATTTTCTTGTACTTTTCCTTGTGTTCTTCTTCGTTGTTTTCCGTGTTCTTTAACACGTCTTTTCTCCGTACTTTCTTTTCCTAGTCATCCCCTTGTACTTTGCTTATTTCGTTCATCGACCTTTTCCTCTTCATAACTAACCAAAAATAGATAGACTATCTGCTAGCTAGACTGCAAATAAATAAATAAAGAAAAATACATTCAATTGATATATATTTTTAGGAGACGATCAGTTGGCCAAAAAGTGTGATATTTTACAACAAAAATTAGAATTACTGTTAAAAACGTTGACTAGCGAACAGATAGATGCAACGACGATAACTCATCAACAATCATTCGAAGAATCGACTGGAACCGGAACGAGTAGAAATACCGAAGATACTGACAGTGAAATATCTTTCGATAAAATGAAGTCGGACAAAGTAGAAAAGGATCTCAGTAATTTTAATTTTAGAAAACACAGAAGGACTTCAAGGTAAGTCAAATTGAGAAAAATGTGTGTAAATGCTTCTTATTTATTTTTGTTTAAAAAAAATATCACACTTGGTCGAATTGGTGTAAATATATTTTCTTCTGCTAAAATTTTCTAAATGCCTCTTCTAATTCTTTTCTTTCGCTTGCTTATGATAAAATAACAACTTAAAATCAAAGGCTATGTAAATAATGCCAAACGCATGCACTTCTTTCACTGCTTGTTCCAGTCATAAGATTTATGTGCTAATTTATGTTTAGAATATTAGGAAATAACTTATTTTAAATTGTTTAAATCATCTGGATATATTCAAAGTACGTGGAAGTTGTTCGTATGGTAAGAATGATCCCGCTATTTTGATTTGAAATTGAAGATTTCTCATGAATTATCTATGTCTTCCTGAATAACTCCAAATAGAGTGAAAATGATTGTTTAATTACTAAACTCCTTAAAACTCAGATCAAACTCCTTTAATCCAGAATCTGTATAGATATATATTTCAGGAAGTAGTTGTTCAGGTTTGTATTATCTGTCCAATCTTGAAGGCTATTCGCTTCATTAAAAATTACAAATTTCTTAACATTTCTCATACAAGTTGATGTTGAAAAATGATTGAACGTTCAGGGTATCAGATCAGAAACCTACCCCACTTTCTAATAAATTAATCTGACAAACATAAGTACTTCTTACCATGTCCTAGGAAAAATCTAGAATCTTTGTGTTTGTGGTGATATTTGCTACCTATGACCTTTTTGCTATATCGTTTAAGGCGTTTTTCAGTCTTATAATTGCCAATTTATTTCTATCTTCATTGCCTCGACTCTTTTTTATGAACAGATTATTAATATTAAAAAACTGCATTTATTTTAGTTTTTCGATGGCTGTGCATTTAACATATGGCATTTCTTGTACTAAACGACTTACTTTTAAGATTTATGGAACGTGAAAAAGACGCTCTGATCCACAGAGCGAACAGCCTGAAGAGGGCGATTCGAAACCTAGTCGAACACACCGAACAAGTAGTCGACGAGCAAAATAGACAATCATCGGTAGCAATACCCGCCGTTAAGATATCTCTAAGCAGCGATTTAGATAAAGTAGATTCACCGGGGCCGACCACGAAGAGGGATTCCCTGAGACCAATGCCCACGATAGAGTCCGGAGGTAGCACTGACGTTAGTTCTTGTCCATCGCCAACGAGGTAAGCATTTAGTTCAGATAGACATTTCAATTTAGTCATTTCGAATTACAAAAAAAAAAATGGTAGTGAGAGTTCTGAAATAGTGGAGCGGTATTTCATAATAGTTGAAGATTTAAATTAAAAGCTGGTATAATAATAGGAATGTAGAGCTAATATGTAAAAATATATGTATTGATATGAGAAAATTAGTTTTGTTATATAATATAAAAAAATTTAAGAGAAATCACTATGTTTTATATTATAACAAAAATTTAAACTCAACTTGACTATCACTTCTTAATCTCAGGTTCCGTAAGTTCAAACAAACACAATAATTTGAATCTCAATAAAGAAGTGGAAAATTCTTACCTCCAAAATTTCAATGACTTACTTGATTTTGAAAGTCCACTCAACGTTTGGTGGGTTTACAAAAAATTAATTTTAAAACTAAAAAAAAAAAAAAAATAAAAAAAGTATTAATTCAATAATTATATTAAAGGTTTTCTTTCTTCTTCCTGGACCCGCCGGCTTCCTCTGCAACCTATTTACAACTCACTGTTTAATTTCCTTGTTTCCCCTGCACCCTATTTGCACCTCACTGCTTATTTTGCTTTTCTATCTGCACCTTATTTGCACCTAACTGTTTACTTTGCTTTTCCCTCTGCACCCTCTAAATCTGTTTCTGTCCTGGTGTTCTACCTGACACTTCCTCCTTTAATGTTTTCAATAAAATGTACCTTACTTTCCTTTTAAAATTGTTTTATTTGTGCTCCAAATGAAAATATCCAATGCATAGGTCATTCTTTACAATATTTATTTCCAATCAATAATCCTTTTTTCTACACCCACATGGATATTAGCTTATCTATGCACAGATTACAAAACGAAAAAGTATGCTATTGCCGTCAACTGAACGAATATATTTCATATCCATTCTAGGTAGTGAGAACACTGCAAAAAAATTAAATCCACCAATCACCGTTCATGTTTTGAACATCCGACTGCTATTATTTTTAAAATTTTAAATAAGTGACAATTCTGTCAAACTAATTGTCAGTATATTTTTTAGTTATTGAGATTAAATATACATTAAAATGGGTTATTCTTGGGTAGAATCGATAAATAATAGCATTTCTGTTTTTATATTGTCTATAATTATAAATAATTTATTAATTTAAATAAAACTATAAAGTCAATTTATTTACAAGTATTTAAGCAACAAAAATAAAAGAATAGGTAATCCTGTGCTTAACGTTCTTGCCTTCCACACGGAAGACTGGAGTTCGATTCTCGGGTGGGGAAAAAGTGAAATGATTTTTTTTTTCGTTTATTTTATTTTAAAAATTATTAAAACTCATAAATAATTTTAAAATTAGTTATTTTGTCTTAATAACCTAAAATATTGTTTATTTGTGAATTTTCATTAGTGGGTCGTAGAAAAAATATACTGTACAACTCGATCCCATGGCGTCGTGCTTAAATTTTGTCTTCGTGCGATATGACCATCATATCCACTCTTGTTCCACAAACTACTATTTCATACAAAATCCAACATTTTACATTTTTCTTTCAAAATTTCCATCTGACAACTTTCAAAAATTTTATGACAATTCTCTTTCAATCGACATCCTGATATTTTTTAAATACTAATTTTTCAGGACCGACATTACCCATCAAACGTTGATTAACAAATTAATAAATTTGAAAACCAAAAATATGTAATACTTCTAATTTTGAATAAAAATATCATATTAATGTATGTATTACAGGACGTCCCATAAAAAGCTGATCGCTTGCTGTATGCTGTAAGAGATTTTCTCGCCATATAGAAAACGATACTTATGACGCCTTAGACTTGAAAAACACTCGGGCGTCAGTAACGTAATTTACCTGACAACCTTCCGATATAGTTTATGAAAGGACTGGAGCAGCTTCAGATGGAGATTAGATTAGATTTATTTAGAACTGTGGGTCACGTGGCCTCCCCCACCTCGACCTTTTCAGATCTATTGTGGATATCCTTGAATCGTTATTTAGAGTAACTTGTCTAATTCGGTCTTTTGTAGTAGACTCCATAGACTGGGAAGTAGTTCTCCGGTATAGCTAGTTGCCCTTGGTTTTTTTTCTCCAAGTGTAAGGAATCTCAGTCTTGCTAGACCTTCGCAGTGTACTGCCGTTTCCTCTTCCTGACAGAATCGGCACAAGGTCTCTTCTGTCAGATCGATATTATACAGATGGAGATACAAAAAATTTCAGGAGTTAATTTTTCATCAGATTTTAATTTCTAAGATAGTATTATTCGAGAAGGACTCGAACAAATAAAAGTTGTTATTTTTAGTTTAATTAGTTTACTTTTCATATTCCTATATTTTTAAGTAAGATTTGGGTTTCGAGGGTATACAGCTCGGGATTTTCCTATAATCTCATAATATAAAAAAATAAAACTGGCCGAGACTCATAAAATGTCATTAGCAGTGATCACAGTCCGAATCCCCGTAACCAATCAAATTCAAGCTAATTCAATTCTCCGAAAGGAGGATTTTCCCATGTAATATCTCTCGGTACTACTGGAGATGTAGAGAGTAGAAAATATAATTTTTGGTGGTCTCAATTGAACTAAAAACAGAAGAATACGTATACAACTTCAACGATATTTTGGTCTAATATAAACGCTTGTAATCGTTTTATGTAATAACAATGGTCCTTCGAGAATAATTCAATAGTTTACAATTTTTTATTCGACAAATAGACCTATGGTGTAAACAGACGTGTAGTTTTCCTACATAGTTTAACTATGATAGTTAATAACGGGCTTTGGACTACGGTTATAGTAGATGTATTTTCTTACGAATTAACATTTTACGAATACGTCCAAATATGCACGAATAAATCAAAACAATAGAATATTGTATATATTACATGCGTATCGGCCATTAGTTGACACCCTAGTTGCGCTACAAGATTTGTCTGTTAGAATACCGAGGTTAACATTGATATTGAGAAAATAATTAATTTATTTTGTAAAAATATATTTTTGTGGGACATGCACAACATTTTTATTAAATTTACCGATCTACATTTCCTTGTGAGCAACATTTTTAATAAAAGAGAATCCAATAAAAAGTAATAATAATCCAGCCACGTCCATCTTGTGAAAAATACTACTCTCGTACTCAGTGGCGTACCCAGATATGGATCTTGGGAGGTATAACAAAATTGTACATGGAACAAATTTTTATTGTAAATTTGAATATTCTATTTTATATAACAAAATCTAGTTGCCTAGTCCAAGAGCTGATACCATATTACATGACTGATCGATCGATGAATTATATCATCGACGATGATACAAGCAGAAAACTCGTTTTTAAAGTGCCACGAAAACTCACAACAATTTTGAGACAATTTAAATTTGTATTTATTGAGTTACTTCTACTACATGTATGATATATTTAATTAAGTAAATTATTATAAAGCAATTTAGAGGTATATTACACTTATTTTTCTTATGATCACATCACTTTGACGATATGATTGAGTCAGCGGACGTGCTGGGACTTCCTGGAGGGGATATATAGTCCCATTATCACCAACTTGAATACGTCACTGCTCGTACTTCAGAAAACCTACATACTATAAACACATAATTCTAATTAATTGTTGGTCGGACGTATTCATCGCATGTACTATAACCGAAGCTTTGACCATTATTAACACGACAAAGAATTTTCGGAAGCTGAAAAGCGTTAAATTGGGTCGATACAAGGTTAAATTACCGCAATTATAAGCCAAACGGGTGAAATTAACAAATATTTTGCTTACGCAAGCTATTTACAATTTAATTTTAATAATTGTATATTTCAAAGGCCATCCCGGTAAAACCCTAAACAAAAATAAATCAAATGGAAAATATTCGATTGCTAATTAGTTGGTAAAGACCCTCAATTAGACGGTAATCATAAAAGTTATCAACTAAAATCAGAGAAAAATATAAATACCTAATTATCAGGTGAACAGAGTGACTTTTAGATTAACTTGAAAGTAAGTCTGCAGTAACTTTAAACCAATACTAACTTATTAAACCTGTCTATCATTTAAAGTGGCTGACATTAGCCTTCAATCTATTCGAAAGAATAAAAATAGAAACCCACTCCTTTGACCTCAAATAACGAGCATCCAACATCCTATAGTTTCAACCACTCAACGAGTTATCAATTAAAAATTACGTTGATTTTTTACTGAATGAATTACGACTAGAGTCAATTTCTAGAAATATTCTTATTTACAATAAATGAATATCCACCAATAAAAATTAAAACGATACTTGAAAAAATACAAAAAATGGTATAATGACTTGCATCAATTTATCAAGTTATTAATGAAACAAATTTAAACTTAAAAATAAAAAAAATAAAATACATAGAACATACAGAAAAATGATAAAACGAGAAAAAACGTAATTATACCAGAGCCATAATATGGAAAATTATAAATGAAAAGAAAACGGTAAACCAAATCTTTTTTATTTGGTGCCATCGGAATCAACTACTATAGTTATTAGCCTCGTGTTCTGTGTAGGCTTTGTTACTGTTTCCCAGCGCCACTTTAGGAACAGCACTGTTAATTAAAAACCAACAGTGAATGCTCTAGTGGGGAATCCTACCAAGCTTAGAATATATATAGTCAGGAAGGAGGAATCCTAAACGACCTTGGAATCGCGATGGTATCTAATTTTGACAGAGAACTAGACGAATATGGAGACAAGTGTTTCTGGTCTACCAGTGACGTACTGTCATAAAGGAGCGTAGAAAAGAAAATAATAAATTATCATTTGCATATTATCTAAATTTACCGATTTCTCTCATTTTAACGAATTGCTATTTTCTTGCGAGAAGTTTGCATTTTTTTTTATTAACCTTCATTATGTGAATAAATTTTACTTTAAAATTGCATGTTGGGTGGGATAAATATAGGAAAATATTTTTGGGATAATTTATAGAAGGATTTCATTTGAAAAAGTAAAGCAATAATGTATTAAGAAAAAATATTGACTTTTTTACGTCTTTATTATGACAATGTCTTTATTAATCTACATTTTACAAATTATTAAGGTTTGAAAAATAAACATGTTTTGTAGATATGAGTTAAAAAAAATTAAATATCCTATACTTATATTAAGGTGAAACACCGCTGTGATATTTCTTTCTTAGATGTTTTTGTTGGAGTATACATAAAACTTCCTAATATCGAAGAAAATTTCTGATCATTTTATTACATAATATTATTAGTAATATTGTTTGCAGGACAATTTTGCATAAGCAGGTAATACACCTTTTTGTAAATAACTTTGTAATAAATTATATAGGGTGCATCACATTCATACAATAAACTTCTATTATACGAAAAAAACGGCGCATGATATAGATAGTAAAGAATTTATCTACTTATATACTTCAACCGGACCACTTTTATTGTTGGAACAGCTGTTGGTAGAAGTCTTATTCTTGGTTTTGAGGTTCGATCAAAACAATCTGCTTTAAAATGGCGTGAACACAAAAAATTAAGATATTTTGGCTGACAATTTATTTGTTGCATGAACTCAAGCCATAACTTTGTTTTTTGAAAATCTTTAGGAAATCTGAAAATTGTCTACCTGGGATTAATTTATATAATTTGTAAATCTAGAATCTTTATGAAATCTGAAAATTGTTTACTTACAATAAATTTATAAATCTAAATTGAACAATAATTTATTCATTTTAACAACCACGTAAATATCTTAAAATTGCATAAAAGAATTGTTTAAATAAAAGTATGTATACTCTATAAACCATGAGACTACGCCTATGAACACAGTTGATCGCAGACGCACTTACCATGTTTGTTTACAAAGGACCCCGCAATAATCTTATGGAAATTGGGTTTCTGTCAAATTGTCTGAATTTTTGATATGTTGTAGATTTTGTCATCCTGAACAAAAGTCTCCATGGGCACAAAGTGCCAAAATGAATATTTTGGCAGCTACGGAGCTGCCAAAGCTCCCCTGACCCGTTGCAAAACTATTTATTTTCAATACTATTTACAGATGTTAAAAGCATATTTTAATTATTCTAATATATAGGGTAATGTTTTTAAGGTCACTGGATTCAACCCTCATGTCAGATTGGACAAATTGACCGTTGACAGCTGTCAATTCACTGTCAACGAGGAATATAAAAGTAAATATCCTCTTTTCACATTGAGAGTTTGGGTTTTTGAGGTCACTGAATTCAATTCTCATGTCAGATTGGACAAATTGACAGTTGACAGCTGTCAATTGACTGTCAACGAAGAATATAAAAGTAAATATTATCTTTTCACATTGAGAGTTTGGGTTTTTGAGGTCGCTGAATTCAATTCTCATGTTAGATTGGACAAATTGATAGTTGACAGCTGTCAATTGACTGTCAACGTGGAATATAAAAGTAAATATCTTTTTTTCACATTGAGAGTTTGGATTTTTGAGGTCGCTGAATTCAATTCTCATGTCGGATTTGAACAAATTGACAGTTTACAGCTGTCAATTTGTCCAATCTGACATGAGAATTGAATTCTGCGACCATAAAAACCCAAACTCTCAATGTGAAAAGTGGATATTTACTTTTATATTCCTCGTTGACCGTGAATTGACAGCTGTCAACGGTCAATTTGTCCAATCTCACATGAGGGTTGAATGAAGTGACCTCAAAAACATTACCCTATATATTAGAATAATTAAAATATGCTTTTGACATCTGTAAATAGTATTGAAAATGAATAGTTTTGCAACGGGTCAGGGGAGCTTTGGCAGCTCCGTAGCTGCCAAAATATTCATTTTGGCACTTTGTGCCCATGGAGACTTTTGTTCAAGATGACAAAATCTACAACATATCAAAAATTCAGACAATTTGACAGAAACCCAATTTCCATAAGATTATTGCGGGGTCCTTTAAACCATTAAAAATTTTAAAAATCTTTAATGTGGTTGAAAATTGAGAGAACAAAATACTTGCTTATGAAATGTAGATTATTTCTTTCTACTTTTAGCTGTGCTGCTATATCCACAAGACGAACAACTAACCATATTGTCTTGTTTGTCTTTTAACGCGGAAAATTTAAAATTAACAGTAATACTAAATAAATACTAAAACACTCAACATTTTTTAAAAATGTCTACAAAACATACGCTTGATAAAAGTTTAAATTAACACATAAAACATCCAAATTATTAACAAATTTTAATCACTAAAATTATAAACCAATTTTAAAAAACCATTTATCATATGATGAAGAGTCATCCATAGTACAACATGGCTATCACTTCCGTCAGATTAATGCGGACATGGCATGCTCCTTCCTGACTATACAGGGTGAGTCGGGAGGAGCGCACCAAACTCTAGGAGTATATTATACACGTGAAAATAATGTAAAAAAACTCATATGTTCTTATCCGATTTTCATTTGTTTTCAAGTTATGGCGTAATTAAAAATATTCATCTAGCTTTCCACTTCTGAATTTTAACGTTATCAAAGTATGCCATATGTTCAAGGCTCAAAGGCATTTGATAATTCTGACGTTTTGATGAACTGTCAGTGTACAGTGAACAGTAACTGAACGTTTAATTTCGAATTTATGTGATTGTTTAGAAGTCAATGGCGGTATTTTTGAACATTTATTGAAAGAACGCTATAATTAAGAGAATTTTTATGTGTAAATTTGTTTTTTTTACATTATTTTCACATGTATAATATACTCCTAGAGTTTGGTGCGCTCCTCCCGACTCACCCTGTATATGTTCTAAGCTACCAAGGCATCAGAATTAATTTTAAATAATTAAATTAAATGAAAAAATCCCGGCCAACGGTGGCATTCGAACCTGGGACCCTTAGATCCGCAGGCAGAAACTCTACCACTGAGCCACCCACCCCGGGCTCTCCTATTATACCTATTTTTAAATTTAAATCTGTAACTATTATGGAACTATTGACTATGAATAACCGCGCCACTGTTAAAGGACCCTGTATAATATATTTTTAATTTTAGTTCAATTATAACGACGAGATTAGCAAATATATCCCCGATGCCTGATGTTAGACGAGATTCAACGTTTGGTAATGAAGAAACCGATTTAGTTCCGTTGCCGGTACCAGAAGGTTTTGCTGACAGTCGGAGGGCTAGTCAGGTCCATCAACAGCAGAGGTAACTGCCCTATTAGCTTTTAGTTTTTATTGACTTACAGATACTTAAAAACAACAAATTAGTAAAACAATTTTATTAAGACAACATAAAAGATTTAAAAATATTCAGGGAAATTAACCAGCACTTTTTAAAGCATTGGCGGCTGGTGACTAACATATTGGGGTTCACACTGTCAGAATATAGATCTCAGTACAGATTTAGGTAAAAAACTTTTAGTGTTTTAGAAAGATATATCATAAACATTAAAAGTTTATTACCTAAATCTGTATTGAGATCTATATTCTGTCATTGTGAACCCCAATATTTTGTTTACGAGCCGCCACTGCTCTAGAGTGTAGGTTTGATAAACAGAATTAGAAATCAATCTTGACGCGATCAATATTTTTTAGGGAATGTAATTCATACGTTAATAAAAAAACTTTTCAAATTGTGAAATATATCGTAGATCTGAAATAGAAATCCGAAACATCAGTATATCTGAAAAATAAGTGACTCAAATAATTTGTAAATTCGGTAAAAAATCTATACAATCCCCCTACGAATTATTAAGTCCATCCCCGAACCCCAAAGGTGAAAACAAATTCCTGTAGATTTGAAAAGTAAACATGTCGTCGCCGGGGATCGAATCCAGGCATTCATGTTCTTCGGACATGTGCCCTCTCTGTAAGACCATTGATAGTGACTGTTGAGATTCCTAGACAGAAATTTGATGTGTTAGTTCCGGCCAGACGGCGTTCAGATTTGTTCTCAATTCTACAAATACCTCTAAAGGGTCGTTTGATTTGAAATTCGATCGAGCGAGCATCGAGAAGACCGAGAAGTGATGACGTGACAATGGAGCAATGAATCAAATCAAATAAAACAGAGTAAAACACATAACCTCGTTTTTTTGCAATTCTTGTTTCTGGTTTTTGTGTAAAAAGAGTGAGCAAAAAGCGAAGAAAATGGAAAAACTTTTAATAATAAGGGACAATGGCCCCAAAATGCAGCATATACCACTAATGCCTGCTTTGCTTTCAAACTCCATGACTGTGATTACTGGTGATTTGATCTGAGCAGAGAAAATTTAGTTTTAAAACACATTTTTTTATGATGAATAATTTTAGCTATAGGACAGTGGTTATGTACTTTGTTGATTTCTTGCCTGGCCTCGAATTTTGAGATTCAAGTTTGTTTGTAGATTAATTAAAAAGAGATAGGTAGAGACAAAGACAAATTTCTCCGTTTTCTCGAAACTTCTGCTCTGAGAACATCGGGCTCGCTCTATGTTCTCGCTCCAAAACAAATCAAACACTTTTGGGATCGCTCGGAGTGTCAATTCAAATACGTTTGCATCGCTCCGGCATCTCCGATGATCAAATCAAACGCACCATAATACAGCATCGGTGTATATGGGAAATGAATTTATGCATTATTTATACTGTGTATGAAAATTGTAAGACTGATATTACGGATTTCGATTTGCGATCTACATCTGGCCAGAACTAGCACATCAAATGTTTGTCTAGGAATCTCGACAGTAATGGTCGTTGCTCTAATGAAGAGGACACAGGTTCGGAGAACATGGATGTTTGGGTTCGATCCCCGACGACGATAGGTTTTTTTTTTTAAATCTACAAGTATTTGTTTTCATTTCAGGGACGGTTTTAATAATTCGTAGGGGGATTGTTGAGATTTGTTTTCGAATTATTTCAGTCAAAAAGATTTTCTATGACTTTACTTGAAAATTTCTTAAATTGTATACAATTTCCCATATAAGTAAAACTTTAAAATTTGTTTTCATGTACCTATATACCGGGTGTCCCAAAAAGTTTTATACAGGTGGGATAAGTTTTATCTTATACAGGGTGTCCCAAATAAGAGTAATCGATTTTAAATGTAAATGCACAGCTTATTAATTGCTCTAAAGAGATGGAGTTTTCACTAATTGATTTCCTTTATCCAAAAGTTTTTTCAAGTTTGTTCACATTTTATCACATCAATACAGGGTAATCCATTAATGTTGGTCAACTTGAATAGAAAAAATATGTATTATTTTAAATGGAACACCCTGTATATTTTGATGGCATTCAAAAGAGATTCATCTACTTTTTAAAAATGTATAGTTTGATATCTTTTGTGTTCTTAACAACAGATTTTCGAGTTTTTAAGTAACACTGCTGTTTTCTTTATTTAAAAACTGACATTAAATAAAATTAACAAAAAGAATTTATTCAGTAACAAAACATAACAAAAATTTATTAAAAATTAGAAAACAAACATTTATAATGAGGATGCAAAAGTTTCAATAATTGCTGTATGTGCCTACCCTCTTGTTCAATGCACATACGCAAACGAAATTTTAAATTTTCAAACGATTTTTCTAACATATCTGGCCGAATATTTTCGATAATGTTCCTAATTATCTTTTAGTTCTTCTACGTTGTTAGGCTTAGGACTGTAGCATTTATGCTTCACATATCCCCAGAGAAAAAATCTGGGATAGTTAGATCAGGAGATCGCGGTGACCACTCAGTCGGTCCAGCTCGACCTATCCACTTTCGATTAAAAAAATTATTTAACGAATCTCGTGCTATCATTGAAATAGAGGTGGTGCGCCATCTTGTTGAAAGAAAACGATGTCTCTAATTCCATCTTGAACTAATGGTGGATAAAAAAACTGTTCCAACATATCTGTGTAATTTGTACCTATCACAGTTGGTTCCGTAAAGAAAAAAGGACCATAGATTTTTCTAGGGGACAACCCACACCAAACGTTAACTGTTGGACTATCTCTTTCAAATTCATTAAAAGAAGTGGGGATTTCAGAACCCCATATTCTGTAATTTTGTTTGCTTCATCAGACATGATTAATAACGTATTAGGTTCATTCCTGAATAAATCTAGTAAAGTCTCGCATACCTTTAGTCGTTTTTCATAATCTGACGGGTACAATTTTTGGTAGGTCTGAATTTTATATGAAGTCAGTTTTAAAATTTTTAGACACCTTTGCAGGTCACTTTTGGAAATGTCTAAAATTCCAGCAATCTTTCTAATCGAAATTCTGCAACTGTTAGCTTGCAGCACTTCATTAATAGACAACAACTTTTCAAAAAGAGCATCAGCGTTTCTTGGTTTTTTTTAGGTGCGCAATGCAACCAGTTTCGCTAAATTTTGCATGCCACTTTTTAATAATATTCACAGAAGGGGGATTTTTACCAAATTTTCTTCTGAGTATTCTCCTTGTTCGAGAGATAGATTTAGTTTCTGCATAAATTAACACAGTTTGAGCTTTTTCAGTTACTGAATAAATCATTTTGTAAGTGACAGTAAATTAAATTACTTCTGTTTTTATGAATTGTCAAATTTGTTGATTTTGTTGTCAGCTTGTCATAGCAAGAGTTGATTTAGCCCAATCGAATTAGGTGAAGAACAGGCTTGAGATTCTGAAAAATTGGAAGCAGCAATTTTCCTTCGGAATTCGTTGGAGGGGGTCTCTGGTAGTCTAAATTCAAAAAGTTGGGATTCCAAAGTTGTCGCTACCTCCGCCATCTTGATTTAAAGGGTTATTTTTTGTATCTTGAATAACTCATTTATTTTCAATTTTACAAGGAAAATAGTTTTTACAAAAGTTATTTAAAATTAAATTTCCTACAATTCTGCTTTTTTTTGTACGATCGATTTTTTCGATTTAAACCCGAAAAGAGGGGGTGAATTTTTGGTTATAGAATAACTCGTTTATTTTCAATTTTACGAGAAAAATTGTTATAAACAAAGTTGTTTAAAATTAAATTTCCTACAATTCTGCTTTTTTTTGTACGATCGATTTTTTTCGATTTATACCCGAAAAGAGGGGGTGAATTTTTGGTTATAGAATAACTCGTTTATTTTCAATTTTACGAGAAAAATTGTTATAAACAAAGTTGTTTAAAATTAAATTTCCTACAATTCTGCTTTTTTTTTGTACGATTGATTTTTTTCGATTTATACCCGAAAAGAGGGGGTGAATTTTTGGTTATAGAATAACTCGTTTATTTTCAATTTTACGAGAAAAATTGTTATAAACAAAGTTGTTTAAAATTAAATTTCCTACAATTCTGTTTTTTTTCTGTACGCTCGATTTTTTGTATTTACCCCTGAGAAGAGTGGGGGTAAACTCTTATCATTGTATTATCACGTTTCTTTTTAATTCCAGGTATCAGCAAAAAAAAACAAACAGAAAAAATAACGGTACAACATCAATAATAAACGTGACAATACAATACTTAGGTTCACCCCCACTCTTCTCAGGGATAAATACAAAAAAATCGATCGTACAAAAAAAAACAGAATTGTAGGAAATTTAATTTTAAACAACTTTCTTTATAACAATTTTTCTCGTAAAATTGAAAATAAACGAGTTATTCTATAACCAAAAATTCACCCCCTCTTTTAGGGTATAAATCGAAAAAAATCGATCGTACAAAAAAAAGCAGAATTGTAGGAAATTTAATTTTAAACAACTTTGTTTATAACAATTTTTCTCGTAAAATTGAAAATAAACGAGTTATTCTATAGCCAAAAATTCACCCCCTCTTTTCGGGTATAAATCGAAAAAAATAGATCGTACAAAAAAAAGCAGAATTGTAGGAAATTTAATTTTAAACAACTTTGTTTATAACAATTTTTCTCGTAAAATTGAAAATAAACGAGTTATTCTATAACCAAAAATTCACCCCCTCTTTTCGGGTTTAAATCGAAAAAATCGATCGTACAAAAAAAAGCAGAATTGTAGGAAATTTAATTTTAAATAACTTTTGTAAAAACTATTTTCCTTGTAAAATTGAAAATAAATGAGTTATTCAAGATACAAAAAATAACCCTTTAAATCAAGATGGCGGAGGTAGCGACAACTTTGGAATCCCAACTTTTTGAATTTAGACTACCAGAGACCCCCTCCAACGAATTCCGAAGGAAAATTGCTGCTTCCAATTTTTCAGAATCTAAAATACTAATCCGATTGGGCTAATTTATTTTACTATGTATCAAATTATGTTCAAATAAATCTGCCTGCGAGTGTTTTACTCTCCTATGAAATAGGCAGATGTATGTACTTTTAATGAATTTGAAAGAGATAGACCAAATGTTAATGTTCGGTTAATTTTGCGTGTGTTAAATTTCAATTACGCATGTGTATTGAAGAGGAGGGTATACATAGGCACATACAGCATTTGTTGTATCTTTTACATCCTTCATTATTAATAATTGTTTTGTAATCTATATTAAATTTTTGTTATGTTTTGTTACTGAACAAATTCTTTTTGTTAATTTTATTTAACAGTTTTTAAATAAAGAAAACAGCAGTGTTACCTAAAAACTCGAAAATCTGTGTTGTTAAGAAAACGAAAGATATCAAACTATACATTTTTAAAAAGTAGATGAATCTCTCTTTTTAATGCCATCAAAATATACAGGGTGTTCCATGTAAAATAATACATATTTTTTCCATTCAAGTTGACCAACATTAGTGGATCACTAATGTTGTGATAAAATGTGAACAAACTTGAAAAAAAAAACTTTTGGATAAACGAAAGTAATTAGTGAAAACCTCATCTCTTTAGAGCAATTAATAAGCTGTGCATTTACATTTAAAATCGATCTCTTATTTGGGACACCCTGTATTTCACAAAAAAAATATTCCGTTAAAAAGTTCTATGATCATTTGGGAATTCACAATTAAGTATTAAATTTTGTAAAATATAAGTGGTATACAGGAAAAATAAAAATAATGATTTATAATGGAAGAATAAAATACTTTAAAATTTCAATATAGAGCAAAATATTGATAGGAATTTAAAAAATATGCTCAAGTTTAAATAATTACACTTATTTTTAAGTAATTCCGATTTACCTTATTCAATAAATAATCCAAAACCAATGCTAAATTATCTATTGGATTTTTTTTTAATTTTACAAATTTCATGCTTAATTATGAATTTGCAAGTAATTTAGAACATTTTATCGTAATAGATTTTAAACTTGGAGATGTGTAAAAAATTAATAAAGAGAAAAAAATTAGTTGACTGATTGCCTATTGGGGGAAAAGTCGTCATTTGGACCATTGGAAATTCAGCTCGAAGTTTGGATACATGAGCACAATCACACATTCTTGCTCCGAGTGGCGGTTTTCCCCCACTATAAATGTAGCTGACTATTACTTTCATACTTCTATAAACGTCAAAAAACATGTAAAAAATGCCAATCTGTTTCAAAATAATTTTTTGCTATCGACTATTTCTTGGAAATGTTCCTTTAAAATATATTTTTTTTTAGCTCGGAAGGCTCTACAGAAAAAATCCTCATCGAAACGGCGACGTCGCTCATGAAACTCGAAATGGAGCACAACACGATAAAAGAAGAAACCGAAAAGGAGATGTCGCCACCCTCCAGGAAGCAACAGGACCGCGACGGTGCCGATAGAAACGCGGCTACGGGCGCGGACGACGACAAGGAATGCAGCAGCATCTTGTCGGTGTTATCGAACGAGGAAGTAAGCATAACGTCCGAAATCCTGGACCAAAAATCGTTCATACCTCGCAAAGACAGCGACGGCGAAGACTTGAACGGTCACATATGCCACATTGACTCCCCCGAAACTGACACTTACCAGTCCACCTCGGACGTCATCCATGGTGAGTCTTTAATGGACGATATTAGTTCCATGTTAGGTGAAGTGTATGGATACGGTCTGGATAGCGTTGACAATACTTACACTGACGACACGACGTTGTTTCCGAGCGATATAGGTAAGGAGGAGGAATGAATAACGTCCTATTCGGGGGCTTTTCGCTTCATTTTAAATCTATAAATTATAAAGGACCGGTTTTTCATATTATTTCATTATCCTTTGTGTACCTCAACCAAAATTTCGAAAAAAAAATCAAAAACTATCACTTATTGATCCGAAAACAAAGTAAATATAAATTCTATGGTAATTCCCACATTTTTCAAAATTTTCCCTACGAAATAATAATTTTTAAACACTTAAAGAGAAAATAAATTAATTAAAGAAATTATGTTCTGGGATGGAATTCGAACCCTAAATATTCGGGTTTTATGTACGCTGCCTTACCAACTTGGCCATCAGGACATTAGATGTCCCGAGTTCGAATTGTTAATTTGAATATTAGATTAGAATCTTAAAACATTTATTTGGTTACACTTATAGGGGGTTCAAAAATAATGGTATAGGTAATGGTATAATATTAGGTAGGTGTAATGTTGAAAAATGTAATTGACATGCGTCAGGTATGTGGTGTGATAAAAAAATAACGGAAATTATTGTTTTTCCCAAAGAATCTTTATTTAATAATGTAGATCAATTTTGTTCCCTTTAAAGTAATTCCCCTCAAATATAATACACTTGTGCCAGCGTTTTTTTCAATTTTGAAAGCACTTCTGAAACCCACTTTTCGGTATAGTATTTCAACTCCTTTAGCAATTCTGTTTTCATCTCGTTAGTGGTGGAAAAACGTCGTCCTTTCATAGTTCTCTTTAATCTCGGGTATAGAAAGTAGTCACAGGGGGTCCGTTTCGGATAAATACGGTAACTGAGGCAAAACAAAAAATTACTAATAACTAGTGATTATGGGCACGTAAACTGCACATGATTTCCAGATAGTGTTCCTGATTGACAGTATAACCTTAAGGCAGGAACAAAAAGAATGAGGAGAACCTTCACATTTGACCGATTTTTTTTTTGTTCTTGGCTCTTCATGCAGCTTCCATTGGATCGATTGGCCCTTGATTTCGACGTCATACCCATAAACCCATATTTATTCTCCTGTTATGACCATTTTCACCAATTCTGGATTTTATTCCTAAAACATCCAAAAAAAATTGCTAATCATCAGCCAAATGATGTTCCAAAGTCATCAGCCACCTTTCTGGTAATAATTCGCCGATTTTCCAGAATAATTTTTATCTGCGACGTCGATTTCTCTTTCTTCTTAAATTTCCGTCACAGAAATAAGAATTTCTTCCCATCGGCTGCGAGCGGGTGGATTATAGTGAAACTTGTAAAAATGTGTAATTCTTGTTGATAAACTGTCAGACACAATGATAAAATTAAAATATTGTTACTCAGGTTTTTGGAATCTCATTTTATTTCAATTCAACTTTTACAACAATACCTCAATTCAACTTTTACAATAACTATCCAACTTATAACATTAACTTATAACGTCTATCATAAAACTGAAAACTGAAGTCAGGATCCTCGGCTTATATAGCTTGCATTGACCCTTCTCGAACCTTCTCGAAATACCTAGAATTTTCTTGACAAATAATGACATTTCCAGACATTTCTGGACTAGTCTATCCTCTTTTACTCGTACTTTTACTTATGATGATCACAGCACACTATAGTGTGATGGGTGACATTGCACTTCTTTTCGTATTTGTACGTTTCCTATAACGGCCGCAGGCCACTGCAGGGTGTAGTGTAACAATATGTTCTGCTAACACTATAAACTTGCTTCAGTTTACATAACAACTATACATACTGAAATAATATAAGTGCTTAAAACTTTATGACTGATAATAAACAAGTTTAATACATATCTGTTTCTTTCATTTAAAGAGCGTCGAACACGCAGAATCTGTCTTGTCTTGTCGAGTGGAAGTGTAGTGAGGCTAGCAACTGTATATGTGTCTCGTCGTGAGTGGCTGAGGGACCATCACATGATCATTGTGCGTGATTAATACAGACTTGTTCTTGCATATATGCGCTTGTTTCTCATCCATTTGAACTATACTTTTAGCACGAGTAAAACAGATTTGCGAGTATGAAAGAGTTAGTACTAGAAATTTTCCATGGGAAAAAACGCTATATTTTAGGTGCTTAAAATGCTAGGAAATAAGTTTGCAGGTATGCATATATTTTTTTCGGAATTAGAAAATCCGTTAAATTGCATTTGGTGTTGCCAGGGTCAGCCTTTGATTTGCAGACGATTTTTAAATTTGGTGATGCAATGTACTGAATGAATAATAAAATATATTATTGTTATTATGTTTATTATATATTATTTATACGGGGTGGAGTATGAAGAACTTAAGTATCTGTAAAAAAAATCTTGTAATTTTTGAACAATTTTCTTCACTAGTTGCCAGTTGTTCTGTGTGTTTTCAACGTCTTCACGATTTGCTGCTCTCTTTGAAACGTCTGTACCACTCGTAAATTATTCGAGCGAAACTCAAAAATTATCATAATTTTTTAATCACACCTCGTACATGTTTCCTTAGACGATGCTGAAATAAAGATTGATTGAAAAATTGAGATTTTTCGGAATATATAACATTCAAATTAACAATTCGGACTCCGGACATCTAATATCCTGATAGCCGAGTTGTATCGAATCATATCCCATAACAGAATTTTTCAAATTTTTCATTTAATTTATTTTCACTTTGTAGGATCAAAGATAATCTTCATTATTTCCTAGGGATAATTTTGAAAAATGTTTCAAATAATTTATAAATCCAAAAATGACATGCGTCGTCACAAAAAATTTTAGTTTTAATCTAGGTCCGATATATTTTAATTTTTGTAAATACTATATCATCACCAATTTAGCTCTTCAAACGGACCTGAACTCATGTATCTAATATCGCCATATTTTGTTTATTCAAAACAGCCCAGTATTGTCTGTTCTACTTTTATTCTTTTTCACTCTTGGTCAATATCTCCATATGTCTATATATCTAAATAAAACAGAATTTAAAATTCCTTCGAATCACCGCTTACCAAGTTTTTCATAGTATACAGTAATTAGATTATTTTTTACCCAAAAATGCCGTAGAGTACAGGATTTATATTTAAAAAACATATGTCTGGGATGTTTAAATAATGTTTAAAAAACCCGTCCTAGAATTTATTTATTTTTAAAAAACATTTTTTTAAATAAATAAGCTTCCGAATACGACGAACTTTAAACCTCTACCGCTCCCCAATAACGCCATGCCATTGAGTGAACGTTTTTTTATTATTAATTTAAATTTGTCGCCATCAACAGGAAAATTTCAAAAATATACATATCTCGTATAAAATATATGCTACCTACTAAAAAATTATTTACATTTCTGGTCTGCTGAACTGATAGATGAGTGAGAGAAGCAATCACACAAGGCTTTAAAAACAAAGGGACCGTGACAACCGGCTGTTATAGATTCAACGTTTGTGGATTGTTCAGGTTGCCATGACAATTGTCACATTGCTATGGTAACACTGTTTTGTTTGGAAACAAATTAAATATTGCCAACTTTGTTTTAACCAGTGGCGGCTTGCCCTAAGGGGTCAAAGGGCCGTGGCACTAGTGCTAAATATGTCGACACATATTCTTTTTTATATAATAGTTATTACATTTTTCGGGTCAAATGGCTAAACGATGCATATACATATAAATTATTTATCATTATGTAATTTAAACCTGACGATAAAATTTGCATCGTGTTATAACACAACAAATAATGCAAGCGACTGGCAACTTACTGGACTATATTCCGCCCGAGCCACATCTCAAACGACCCGGCTGCTAGCATACCAATATATTTAAAACGGTTACCTACGTCACAAATGCAGAAAGTACGTGTTTAATACGTTTAAACGGGGAGAGCTAATCGAGTGGCTCGAATTAGTTTTTTGAGTATTTCAGCTGGTCGCATGTTGCCGTTGTGCGTAAATAAGTTGAAAATTTTATTAGCTTTTGTATGATAATATAAATATACCTACTGTTTACAAATTGTCCTAGACAAAATGAATAAAATGAGCAATTTTTCTGCCCACTCGCTCAAGGACAAAATTCAAATCAAAGAACTTGGAAGATCTTTTCTCGATTTAGAAATCACAATAACGCAGAATATATGTATTTAAAAAATAACTGGAATTGTGGGTGTAATCAAAAATATGCATTTTGTTTGGAGGCGATTTTACGTGGACGACGCATGGTATCACTGATTTAGTACATAATATGAGAAAATTAAAACATGAAAAGTAGCCCGTTTCCAGAGCTTATAACTTTTAAGCGCCTAATCGTAGAAACGAGCGGTTTTTGCTGATATGTGTTATTTTGCTATAAGTTTTGGTTTAGTGGCACAGAAATTATGTATTACTACAGGGTGTTTTTTAAAAATCTCCTCTCTTAAATTCACCGTATCAAATTTATTTTGTAAAATACCATGTACAAATTATACATTTTTAAAAAGAAGAAGAGTGTATCTTTCACCTGACCTAAACATATACAGGGTGTTCCATTTGATAAAATTTGGTTACGGTGAATTTAAAGGAGATTTTTAAAAAACACCCTGTATACGTAATACATAATTTCTGTGTCATTGAAACAAAACTTATAGCAAAATAACACATCAGCAAAAACCGCACGTTTCTACGATTAGGTGTTTAAAAGTTATAAGCTCTGGAAATGGACTACTTTTCATTGGGACACCCTGTATAAATATTTTTAGTTTTTCATTGCTCGGAAAATCAAATATAATGACCCTATTAAGTTCGGCTCATAGGCAAAATATTATTAAGCAAATCCAAGGAGTTTTTATGTTATTTAATTATCTAAAAAGAAATACCAGAGGCGTGTTTTTGGGTCAAAATTTGGTCGTGGTGCCCAAAAATGTTTCGTCC